TACTTTTTTGCAAAATATTCTCCTGCTCAGAACTGTGAATGTAATGGACAGGCTCAAATGCTTTATACGAAAATAAGAAAGATGGGAAACAATTACTAAAAGAGCACATGCGATCAGTAACTCACTTGGGTGCTGTCATTGTCGTGAGAATTATGCCACTCAAGAGTTTGCAAACATTTTACAAGTTGGATAAGAAGAAAGTTGCTGTAAGACAGACGTTATCAAAAATTGAGATGTGCTGGTAGATGTTTTTGAAATCATACTATGTCTAGCCGAATACGGTTTGCTTTTTCGTAGATATATTGGTGATTCTACTTTGAATGGCAGAAAGTTTCTGAAACTCAAGGATGAATATGTGCTTGGGGAACATGTGGAGAAAGTTATGGATGAAAAAAAGGGTTAAGATATAAATAATGCACATGGTAGCCATGGCTAAGTTATTACGTGCTTGAGTCCTGAATCTTCAAACGGGCTCATTTCTAATATTTCTGATGAAATACATCAAACTATAAGCACACTGACATCAAGATGTGAGACACTTCAGTATTGCCACAGATTGCATTGCAGAAATTGCCCGTCAAAACCAAGTGTCAATTGTACTCACGTTTATCAGAGCTGATCTCTGCATTGTAGAGTGTTGCTTAAAGCGGTACCCCTGGAAGAATCGTTTGTAAGATTCATCTTCAGAGAACCTGTTTAATATTTTAAAGCATACCCTGACTGCTTAGTGAGTTCACCTACAATAGCCAGTTAGTCAGTCATATGAATGCTATTAATTGATATTGGGCCAGTAAGCTTGTGTCAGAGCATTGGCAGAAAAGAATAATCTAAGCTACCTCTACATTTGGACGTTCCACCATGCACTTAGCCTATTTATAATTTAGGTATGTAGAGCCTCTTTGTCAGTCAAGTGATTGTTTGACCTCTTGAAGAAGATGTACAACTTAGTCCCTGCATCTAGCAACATAAGTTATGATGTTCTTGTAAAAGAGCAGAGTCACTATGCTATACCTTCAAGTTACTGGTAGTTATCAAGTGCTCACTAATGTTCACATTAAAAATGCTCTCAGTAATGTGTTCTTTACATAAGAAGAATAGCTTTTTGATTGCTTTATGAGTACTCTTGAGGAATGTCAATCTACAAAGTGAAAGAACATTGCAAAAGCCTTGCTTTGTTGAAATTGCCATTACTACTCATTTATTCTAAATATGTTTTACATCACAGATTCAACATCTAATTATCTTCAGTTTGAAAACATTGATCTTTTTCAAATAATGAATATTTTGAGACTCGTGAGACACAGCTTCTGGAACTCAAGAACAAGACCAATGCATAAAAAGAGCTATATGGATCCAGTGTTGCTTGTTGTGAATGAAAAAGTTTTCATGGTATGTTTTCCTGAAATTTGAGTCCACAAGAAGAAAATAATGGCTCACTAAATGACGTCTACAGCAGGTGAATAATGTGAATAAGGATATGAATCATCATCACATTTTCCATCGATTTCAACAACTGGATGTAGTCCTGGAGCATTATCAGTGTGCCTTACTGCCTGCTAAAGCTCCTGCCTAATCAAAAGATCCATAGATCACAGTGAAACACTAACGGCTCTGGTTGATCGTGTAGCAACATTTCATATGAGATGAGGCATCTCACCACTTTTCTTGGTCTTGTGTGACTGAAACCAATGCCATTCAATACCAAGACTTGTTAAAAATCGCAACACTTTACGTCCTATAGAGATCACATCTGTACTTCTAAGGATGATCAGGTTGCTTAACGCTTCCATGAACTATATTAGCTACCTTATGCTCCTGAATACAGAAAGTAACCGTTAGAGATCTCTATATCTTTCTTAGCTATTTATAAACCTCTTGGTACCGAGGACTAAGCAAAAACATGCAGATAACTCTCTTAGCCCTTGCTATTCCTTGAATTTAGTTCTGACTTAACTCACAACTTCCTACTATTCATCATAATTTCTATGTGTCTTTAGAAAGTGCCCTTCCACATTAATCACAATTTTCAAATGTTACAGAACTAGAGAGCCAAACAGAAAAGGAAGCAAAGTATACAAATATACTCTGCAATAAACAAGTCCTTTGGTCATGGCACTGTAAAGTAACTGAATAACTAGTATGTGGTGTTCAGGTAGTTACAAGAACCTGCAAAATGCAGAGCATTAAAATTAACACTTACACAAAGGAAAACAAATAACCCAAGTGAACAAATAAATCAATATCTTTACTAACAAGCATTGTTTCTGTATTTTAGTAACTGATTGACCTCTATGTTTATTAATACTCAAACTGACGGTTGGTATGAAGATGAGTCTTCCCATACACGTCCATATGGGACAAGGGAGGAAAAAGAATAATGCAAGTCCTCACAGGACAAACACAGAAATAAGAATAATGGAATACCGTACTTTTATGTCAGACCATGGTCGTATAGCACTTTCCTACAATCCTTATATTACCAACATCAACATTTATTCCAAACAACACATACAGGGAAAATAACCCCAAAACATACTAACTTCTATAATTATCTGTATCACCCCTTTAAATGAGATTACCCCAGCCCCGGGAGCAGATACTAACACAGGGTCAAGCTGGTACCATCTTCTATAGGATAATCGTTGTAGTATGTAACCTTTACACTAGCAAGAGGATTCTTGTATGCTTATGAAGCTCATAGACACGATTTACTAGGAGAAGACTAACTAAATGCAGAACAATTTAATGGTCAAATTTAGAAAAAAAATATTAATCAAGATTTATTTTGCAGAAGGATAAATATGATAATATTAATATCACCACACACATAGCAGTAACAGAAAAATAGCAAGCGAATTTGGTTATCTACATAGTTATTAGTGTATATTTTGAAAACTATTCGTTTTTACTGATTAAGTGTGTAAAGCTCAAAACAAACTGAGATGTCGTAGAATCATTTATGCTTTGCGGTGAAATAGAGGGCAAACGTAGCTCAAAGCGCTAAAATCTGAGGTCAGAAATAAATGATGGTGTATCACATGTCAGAAACAATAGAGGTTTACGCTTTTTTCTTTTTATTAAGGTAAGAGTAATCAATTGCTGCCCAATAATATTTGAAATTGTATTCAGAATACATATAATAATGGCTGGAGACGGCTTGAATGGGTAATGAAGAAAAACTTTAATATAAGTTTAACATAACAGCAAATGTACAACGTTTCGACAAGGTTTTTTCAGTACCTGATGATGACAAAACCTCGTC